ATCTGTCAACCATATTCATTTTGCCGGATCTCTTCCCAAGGTATTAGCCTCTATGTGGTGAAGACCGGCTCTGATACCAATTGATGAAAACGGTTAGCAACACAAGAGGGGGGGGGGGGGGGGTGAATTGTGTGTGTGTGGAACCGTGGCAGTTTTTCGCCCAGTTCTAGTGCGGGGTAAAGGGATATACGAAATAGTAAAGTGCTCAAGGATTTAACGAGGAAAAATCCCTTGGCTCAAAGGGATTAAAAAACCTCGACCTCCCTCGGAGGAATTTTAACAACTTCACTAAAAAGCCTTTGATGATTACAAGGGAAACTCTCTTAGTCTACCCTTGAGCCACCCCAACTCTATCCTCTCTAGGAAGAGTTATGCTTCTCTACCTTGCGGGTAGAGAGCCTCTCAGCTTTACAACAAAGCTCTCACACACACAAACCAACCTGAGGAGGCTATTCTTAGCCAATCCTCAAAACCCCATTACAATATGAAGAAGGGAAAGAAGAAACTATATCTAGAACTCCGTATGAGCAGTTTCAGGCAGATTGTGCTTGATATATTCTTGAGTGTATCTCGGGGTATTTCTTGCTGCCAGCCTTACTACTTCTCTTTTGCCCCTTTGCTCTTTATAGGCAGTCTTGAAGAGAATCCGTTGGAGCCCCTTTCCTTAAGGTTGATTCTTGCCTTGATATAATTCAAAAAACCTTCCATCTTGATACACAAGTCAAACTAACATGTATAGTTTTATAAGACAAGAAGTAATTGATGTTGTGGGTCAAGGCAATAATTTATTATCTCACCATATACACACATACGGATTATGCTAGTAAATATTCCTTAGCACATATAAATTTATTCGAATCATTTATTCAAAGGAAGCTTTCCTTTAATAATAATTCATGCAACGTTGCTTTTTTGAAAAGTCAATTGCCTTTGTTGCTAATTAAGGAGCCAGTTAAAAGAGAAGATTCAATTTACTTCAAATCAAGCTACGGTCACTTCCATTAAGATCAATTACAAAAGGTAATATTTTCTTGCAAGCCATATTCAAATAATGCCATAGAATCATGCAATTATTCTAAAGTAACTTTCCTTAAACAAATATTCATTTAATATTTCCACCAAGGATAACATTTTTAAACCAAAGCAAGTTACATATATTTTGTAGCAATGAAAAGATTTATGCAATCATGTGTAAGTCAAGCTACTTTAATGACTAAATATAAACCATGCACTCATAATATAGCAAGCAAGGATATTTTCCATAAAGTGATAGGCTATACTAATAAGTAGATGTCTAATTAATCAAATATGGAAAGAGAATAAACACTCAAATATGCACCCATATGCAAATTACGTATATCTATTTTATGGTCATGCAAAAATGCACTCATATTACTTTTCATAAAGCATATCTAACAATACATTCCCCAAAATATCCAATCAATTATGGAAAGATATTAATGCATGTAAAATATCATACGTTGAAAGACATGCATATGCAGCTTACGGAACAGGAGCGGTTCTGTACGTCGTTCTACCTACATGGTTAGTCATTAACAAAACCACATACTCAACAGCCGTCTGCTGGAAGGTTTTGGCGCTTTCTGTTCGGCTGTGTACATTACTTTCCGCCGGCCACCGATGTAACTGGTGGACGTCGGGGATCGGGTAGGGTGTTGCATGGAAGGTGAGGTATTTTCTGGCTCTCTAACTTTTATTCTCCATCTCCACTTCACGTAGCAGCTTGGGTGTCGACGGAACCTGGGCACCTGGCGGGGGTAAGGGGGTGTGGGTTTGGATGGGACTAACGTCACCTGCACGCTAGGAGGTTGAGGGGCGCTGAAGGATAAAAACGCTGGGTTGGATTCTACTGGACCAGGAACCTGGCCTAACCTAACTTCCTTGGACACGCTGGATCCTGAGGATTGGAATAATGGGCTTCGTTGGTTATTGTTGCCCTTCTCGGCCGAGAGGCCTGAGTCGCGAGCTGGGATGCGGAAAGGGGAGGTGCCTTAAATGGCCCACAAACCTGGAAGCTTGGACTGTTGTTAGATGTTTGTTGAGATGGCTGGGCAGTTACTGAGCCGCTGGACCACAGTTAAACTTGGGGGTGGGTCTTCATTGACTAACTCTTGGGCTCTGTGGAAGCCTGACAACTTCTTTGTGTGACGAATGAGCCGGGGACCTGTCCCGAGCCATTCTTTTTTATGGACTACTTTGATTTTGCAGAACGGTTTCCATAAAATCTATCCCGCGCCCATCACCGAAAGGGTGTGGGTGGAGTGGGAGTTTGAATAGTAGAAGTAGTTTTCACCGAAAGAGGTAAAAATATAGTTCATCTTATATGAAAATTATGCAAATATAGTTCCATTTATATGAAAATTATGCAAATATAGTTCCATTCCTTATATAGTTTTCATCTACGGCTAACCTATTAAATTTTTAGGAAGGACATTTCATTCTTTAACAGCTAATCGATGCCAAACAAATACTTGGTGAGACCAAATCTATTTCCTCAATTCTTATCTTTTATACTGCATGTTATTTTGTATTCTTTTTAATAGTTTGATAAACACAGTTGTCATTAGCAAGAATGTGGGATAGTGTAAATGTGTGATTCACAAACACCGAATCATTAGCAAGAAAGAAAGGTAAAAGCTACCATGGTAAATCTAAGGGCATTTTACCAATTACATCAACATTCACTAGGGTTTAGAATTTGAAATATTTGTAGATTTGGGGTATAAAAAGGTCAAAAAAACATAGGTAGTACGTAAAGGTCAATAATAAAAGTTAAAAATCAAGCCAGATAGATCTTTTTTGAAAAATGGATTTATGTCCGGTTTCCATGTAGATTACATTTTACAAACACAAAAATGAAAAAATCAGTTCAAACATTAAAAACACGGAGATTTTTTTAAAGCATACTACTCCGTATTAAGATTAAAAAAAAATCAATCTTAGTGGATTTCACCTGCAATATAAAAGATAATAACAGTTAGAATTTACTTATGTTCATATCACATATCATAAAATCATCTTTTATACACCCTCTGTATTTATATGTTCCATACATTTGCTTTTGGCACAATATTTTAGTATAGAATATTAAGAGTAGTGAATAGTGTAGAAAAAGTAGGAGAGAGTGTAAAAGTATGAATGAGAAGATAAAAAGTGGATAAAGTAAGGGTGATTGAGTATTTTATAAAGGATAAACTTACCAAAAATGGAAGTGTATGGAACTTTTAAATACATCTCAAAAAGGAAAGTGTAGGGAACTTTTAAATATGGAGGGAGTATTTAAAACATCTTTATTTTTTGAAAGCAAAGTTTTGATATTAGGTCCAAGCTAAAATTGGATATAGGTTAAATCTTGGCTTTAGAACTTACCAGTACTATATAACATCAATCTTCTTACAAAAACCATTTTTATATTTAATATAAAAATCATTTGAAACGATTGATATATGGCCCTATATCTGGACCTTGGTTAGGTTCACTTGCATATAACCAAAGATTATAAGAAGGCCTTAGATGCATTTTGAAATACAGAGACAAAATAATAGGTATTTATTAATTAAAGATGTTGAGAAATTGATAACTTAGATTAGTAAAATTGATACAGAGTCCTTTTTTGTAAATCCTTTCAATATTACATTAGAAAAATATTGCATTTATTATAATAAATTAGGTAGGTTTTGTACATTTTTTAAATAATTTAATAAAAAATACCTATTTATTAATAATAGTACCTATACACAATTGATTGAAATTAAATATTTTACCGCTCTTCAACGCTTCCCATGACATTTGATTCCTTTTCAAGTTTGGGGAAGATAAATGTTAACGGTATATCTAATTTGAAGGAAGTACAATGTTGACGTGAAATAAAATATGATGTTGTAACGATACAAATAGAGGTTGTTGTTCCGTGACGATGTATGTAGTTGAAGGTGCAATTATTACTACGTATTATTTTATTTAGTGAATTCGGTACTTTGTCATGCCAAAACACGTTCGCATCGGTAATTACTTTAGAAAATTGTAATGGTCAAAAAGTACTTATTCCATGGTTAACACTTACTCCTTCCGATGCGAGAATACAATCAAGTTTCAAAAAAATCAAATTTAAGTCATGACCTCCCTATGCAGTGACTATAAAAAAGAGTCGATGTCAATCTTCGTTGCATGTTGGCCTACAACTAAAAAGTCAATATTTACTCATAGTCAACTTTATATTGCAGTGACAAGAGTTTTTTTGCATATCCTTCTAAACCTATTATAGTATCTGTTCCAGATAATGTCATCATCCTTGATTGATATAAAACTCAAACATGTGACCTCTTTGGAAGATCAATAGTGATGCCATGAGACCACAAGATAATTAGCCAGTGACAAGAGTTAACAATCGAAAAGGTTTGAAAATATTGATTGATGATAACAATTATCAACAAATTGATCATACTACTAATGTTGGTTACAAAGAAGTGTTTTATTTGTACTTTTCCCCTTCATTGTAATGTTTACATTTTGTGCCCTTTTGAAACATTCTAAACGTTAACAAATTACTCGGTCTTTCTTAGCTATTTAAGACATAGTATATAACATATTATTATATAGCTATGTTCTCTTTTCCCTCTTTTTTGAGGGATCTTTTCACTCTTATAAATTATAAATTTATCAATCTTGGAAAATATTGCATTAATGTAAAAACTTGCATGATTTGATTATATTTTGTTCTGTGCATCGCACGGGTGAAAGTCTAGTATCCAGGATAAAATGAGTTGTGACTTGTGAGTGGTGAAGGGGAATTGGAAACTCGTTCACGCCGAATATTCTTCTCATATTCCCGCCCACTTCTTTCAGGAGTCAAAAAACAAAACCCGCAACCGCTGACCGTTAGATTACCCGTAGAACCGAATCTGACGGTGCATAACTCGTCCAGAGCCCAGGAGTAAATAGGCAACACGACATCCCTTTTGTTGGAAGGAAGAGAGGAAAACCCCAAAACAGAAAATCCGCATAATATTCCCTTGGCATCTTCTCCCAGACTTCACTATATATAGCCCTCTCCAAATTTATCTCATGTAAACCCAATTCTTCACTATATAATTCTTCTCCTTCTAATTCACAAAATAATCAAAGCTCCGTTTCCTACAATGGCGGACATAGTTGTGGTTTTCGACTTCGACAAGACGATTATCGACGTGGACAGCGATAATTGGGTCGTCGACGAGTTAGGCTTCTCCGACTCCTTCAATCGCCTTCTTCCCACCATGCCCTGGAATTCTCTCATGGTTTGTTACTAATTACTAATTCAGTTCTTCTCTGTTTTGTTTAATTTGGTTTCTTCCCTATTCAGCAGCAAAGTCGTTAGGTTTCTCCCCTGTTTCTCGCATGTTTTTTTAATATAAACCATCCATGTCCAGTAAATACTCATTAATGATTGTTAATACAATAAGTGTAAAATACAAATGTGGCTTATAAAGTTATGTTTTTTTCTTGATTTTAGGATACGCTGATGTCGGAGCTTCACGCTAATGGTAAAACGGTCCGAGACATTGAGCAAGTTCTCCAGCGTGTTCCCATTCATCCCCGGGTTGTCCCGGCTATTAAAGCCGCTCATGCTTTAGGGTAATTAATTGATTGATTAATTCACTAATCCTATCTTTGAACGAGTAATTTTGTAAGTGAACTGGAACTGATTTCATATGAAATCAAAGCTTTAAACAGTAATTTGGAATAGTTTGATCTGATTAAGACTTAAATTTACATGGGATGTCGTATTCACCTTTGAGTTACATGATGGTTTTCAGGTGTGATTTAAGGATAGTGAGTGATGCTAACGTTTTCTTCATCGAAACAATCGTCGAACATCTCGGAATTAGGGAATGTTTTTCGGAGATTAACACGAATCCAGGCTATGTTGACGAGGAAGGCCGACTGAGAATCTTCCCTTTCCATGATTTCCATTCTTCTCCACATGATTGCAACCGTTGCCCTCCCAACATGTGCAAGGTACAATATTTGGGTTCATGCATATATCTTGCATATTCGTTCTTTATTAGTTCCAGATTAGACTTAAATGAAAATAAACTTAAAGCAGCATTGGACTAACTTTTGGATCTATGACATATATAGGGTAAGATTATAGAAAGGATTAAGGCTGATTTGGCTAAGGAAGGGAAGAAGAGGATAATCTACCTTGGTGATGGGATTGGTGATTTCTGCCCAAGCTTGAAGCTGAAAGAGGGAGACTTTATGATGCCAAGGAAAGGTTTCCCAGCTTGGGAATTGATAAACCAAAACAGATCTTTATTAGAAGCAGAGGTCCATGAATGGAGTGACGGTGAGGAGCTTGAGAGGCTTCTGCTTCAACTCATAAACAGGATCTGCATTGAAGACAGTCATTTTGATCAGCCATTAGAGGATTCTAAGTTCCAGGCTATCTCCATGCTGTTGCCTAAACCTATTTCTGTACCTTTCTAGTTGTAGTGTGATTTTTTTTTGAAGTTCTATATGCCAATTATTGTCTGTTGACCATTCAAGAGAAGGAAAATAAAAGGTGGTTAGCAGCTTTAATTTCATCCAAACGGCCCCTAACAGTATGCCCTCCCGCTCCAAATCGATCTTCATGTTTGTAATTGATTTGCTTACTGAATGAGAATAAGTGAATAACGAAGAAGCTTATATATTATTCATCCATAATGAAATAATTTACCAATAAGTTTGCTTTTGTTACAACCATTTCGTTACCACTTTATGGACACAGTGAAACTTTGTTTGTGTCTAATGTTTTATTTTATTTAGGGAAAATAATTCTAAGTAATATCAACTATGACCTTGTATCAATAATAATATGTACTATCCATAAATGATTTTTAATAATACCTTACACCAACTATTTGACCCTTTTCCCTTTGATATATAACAAGAACATGTACATTTAACTTTAACTGCAAATATGAAAAAAACTACTTGTAGGTTCAATAAAAGCAACACATGTTTGTATATATATTCTTAAGTGATTTTATTGTCTAGTACTACGTATTTATTAGATAACGAAGTTAAGTCAGTTGTTATGATATAGTACGGAGTATTAAATATGACAATTTTACTAAGCTTGCATTTTTTTTACTTCAACATTTTTTTTTTGACTGGGATGAATTTCGAACTTGTGGCCTCCTCTTTGAGAGTAATGTCACCGAATCACAAAGTGCTTGGCCTAAGCATGCATCTTAATGATTTCATGTGTAAGTTTGTATTTTTTACACACACACATAGGCCGGGTTGGGAATAAGCTTGGGCGCGTGGCCTGACCTGACATGTTTATATACAAATTAGTCTTGGGTTTTTAGAAAAACACGTTCATTTAATACGTATGTGATTATATATATAATTAGTTATGTTTATACAGAGTATTTATTTGTATTATTCATGTTTATATATATAACTATAGCAAATTAGGCATACATGTTGTTTTACGGAGTGTTTATTGTAAATTTGAATACTATTTTAAATATATAAAATGTGTTATTAGGGTCATTCAAAATCAAAGTTCTTCAAGATTTGAAGTACACATAAAATTATAAGCTACATAACTACCATATTAATAGACACTGAAAAACTATTGTATTGCTGCGCATTAGGTTTATATAATTATATCGAGTTAAAAGAATATGTCACCTTTTTATTTTCAACATTTTGGATTGTTTTTTAATTTTTATTCATAACAAGCCTTTTGAAGAGGCTATAGGCTAGACCAAACTTTTAAACATGTCAGATTAAGGCCTAAAAGCCAGCTTTTAATAGGTAACAGACAAGGCCCATGCCTACATATATTAATTCAGCCCCGACCTACTTAAGCAAAAGCCTGACCAGACTGTTTTCACCCCTAGACACAAACATAATATTCCGCATTACACATTATATTTATGTAAAAGTATTGACAAATATAATTTTTATATGCCCGTCTAGCCGCCTAGGCACTAGATCGATACTGAGTTAGTGCCCGATTAGCGCCTAACACATTTTTAGAAGATTGTTATTTATACTCTTGAGGAGACCACTAAACTCATAGGGGAGAGAACCTATATGTGTTTCAACTACAACAGGGCCGACTAATGGATTGCGAGGCCCCGTTCTAAACGTCATAATGAGGCCCCATATATTTAAGCATAAAAGCATAAAATTACACAATAAACTACATAAATAAACTTTTCAAGTTCAATAATCCGGAATCGCATAAATCACCCTATATGTATTATGCGATTACACACAATTACTTCATATTTTGTAAGTCTTGTTCTAGACTTTCATTTTGGATGAATCAATAGAAACTGATATATCTGGAGATGAGAAATAATCAAATAAACTCCAAAAGACCCGTTTCCAACTGCAAATGGAATGTTCTGGTAGTGTGAAATTTTAAGCACACTTAATTGCTTCTTAACTATTGGGCAATCCAATTCCGCCGGCAATCAATTTAATCGGCCCATAGTTTCTACTCCGCATTAATTATGAGTAGTGTCCTAGGGATAAAAACTACGTAGTACTACTATTGTATAAAAAATATGGGACCCCTGTGCAATGTGGGGCCCTGTTCTATAGAACCCAATTCACTTGCTATTAGCCGGCCCTGAACTACGAACCTCAACTTAAAATGATAAGTTGATAACTAGGAACTTTGTAGTGGCTTTCTTGGAATGAGCATTAAGAATAAGCATATAAGATAAACATGTAAGCACAAAACATATGGCCGTCAAATCATAAATTTAAGACTTGTGTGTGTTTACTTCAGTGCTAAATGCACAATTAAGTTATTAAGACAGGTGAAGCTGCTTAGTAACCGGAATAAGTGCTTAAAGTGTCGCGTACTAAGCATACCACCCTCATGTATTAAATAAGCAGCACTTTAACATTTTTCAGTTTTCCAATTTATCCTTACGCTTACCCCTTGCCCTTACTGTTACCTCTGCCCTAACCCTGACATACTCTACCTTATCTTGACCCAAACCCAACCCCGACCCACCCCTTCATCATCCCTCGTACCCCTAACCCCTTCCCTTACTCGTATTACCCCTACCCCACACCAAGCTAGTGCTCGTACCCTAAACCTGTATGCGTGCCCCTTACCTGCCACCCTAACCGTACCCCGACATACCCCTACCCCACCCCCACCCACCCACCCTTACCCGTCCCCAGTACTCGTAGCCCTTACCCTTACCCCTGCCCTCCCCGGCCCCTACCCATCCCCTACCAATCCTACCATACCCCACCCCTACCTCAACCCTATCCCGACCCCAACTCGGCCCTAACCCTGCCCCTGCCCCTACCTGGCCCCGATCTTACCCAACCCCATCCCAACCCGAATTCGTGCTCGTACCCTTATCCATACTCGTTCACCCTTACCTTTACGTACCCCTACCTCATATCCCATCCTTACCCCTACCCCCTACCATGACCCTCTACTCGTGGCCCGTACCCCTAAAGTGTTAAAAATTGTATTTTATTTTATTTATATAACTATTACCACTATCAATTTTAACACACGTACATTCACACGAGGACACAGAAACCAGTATAAATTTATTTATTTATAATATTAATATCTTTACATATGACTATTTTGATAGTTTTTTTTAAATGCTAACAAATAAAAAATAAAAATATTCATACTGATAAAATAGTAAAAACATTTAGAGATGGAAGCCGGGCCGTCCTGTTTTCACTAGGGGTGCTTCGGTACGGTATACCTTATATTTTTTCTCATACCTTTGCCGTACCAAAACTTTCGGTATGCAAAATTTGCATACCTTTACCTTACCGAAGTTTCGGTATACCGCATTTCGGTATACCGAAGTTTCGGTTCGGTAACGGTAAGGTATCAGTAAATTACCGTGCATGTCTCCCAATACAAAAAATTATCATAGACTAACGAAATATACTAAATCGTTATTACTAGCGACATATTAAATCTATTATTAAAATGTTACGAAATACAATCAATAATCTATTGATGTCAATTCAATATTGAACAATAATTATTATTAGTATATTTAAGCAGTTCAACATACCACATATTAAAAAGTAACACATTCTCCTAAAATAACTTGAACAATATAGATATAATTAAATCAATATTGATCTCTAACAAAAATAAATAAAACTATTCAAACAACATGGATATAAAATCATTTATTCCTAATATGATATTGTGTATTTAGTCATTTTTATAATATTTTTAAAATTGAATAAGACTTTCGGACAAAGTTGTGTGTCTCGACTCGCTGAATCCCTATGTAGATACACTTGTCACATAAGTGTATCTATCTTCACTCGTCAGCTACTTAGCGGCCCAACCATCACGACTTGCAAGCTCTTGGAACAAGATGAACTTGTTTCTTGACATTTGTACATTACTCATTAGTCATTTAAGGTTAGCGTAGTAGAAGCCTATAAGGTTATAATGGGTTTGAGAAATTGGGCCTTTCTTTTTGTATTTTTGTATTTGTAACCAACTTAAGTATTAATTTTGGGCTTCAAAATTGTAATGGATTTCTACAATATATTAGAATTAAAAGTAATTGTTGAGTAGGGAGTCGGTACGGTATTATACCGGTATACCGCGGTATTTGAAAACATTTACCGTTACCTTACCGAAATAGACCGGTACGGTATGATACCGTACCGAAAATGACGATATACCAATATTTCGGTATTTTCCGGTATTTTTCGGTACGGTAAGTGCGGTATACCGATATTTCGGTATTTTTGCTCACCCATAGTTTTCACCCCTACATATAACATATATTAATTCAGGCCCGATCTATTTAGGTAAAATTGTTAGTTTTTACAATAATTAAAGAACTAGATGTCGAGAGTTCTAAAGTGAAAAACTAAAATTGTCTCATTCACAAAAAAAATGATCAATTTGTCACGTGATCTTTTTTTTACCAATATTTCTAGAATAACTTTTTATAAATTTGATTAACCACCCTTTTTCAAATCAAATTGGTATTTGTCCCTTGTTTGGGAGTTTAACTTTTGGACAGAAAATAACAAAAAACGACAATGGATTTACGGTGGCCCAAAGGCGTTGCTATTCATAATGGACTATTGTACTATATGTACGTAATACTCCATCCGTAACAAAAAAATCTTACCACTTTACTTTTTCGTCCGTAACATAAAAATCTTCTCATTTCTAAATCTTTCCATTATACTCTCAATAATTCTGAAAATAAAACACTATTACAACTACTTTTTTTGGATTTATCCTACATTCCATCACATTATTCCAATATCTTCCCATCATACCCTCAATAATTCATATTCTCTTTCACTATTCTTCATCTACCTACTTTTGAAATGGGAAGATTTTAAAGTTACGGAGGAAGTATCCATAAATTTTTGAATGGTACATAATGAATAGTACGTAGTACATTTAAAAATGTACAGAATCTCAGATTTTATTACTCCCTCCGTCCCGGAAACAAGTTCCCGGGTTGACTTTCACACATTTTAAAGAAATAAAGTTACCGAGGGGTAAATTTACTGTTTGGCACTGTTTCGACACTGTTTAGCACTGTTTCAACAATGTTTGACACTGTTTTGATATAGGATAACTTTCCATTTAGCGAAATGGGAAGTTTATTTTGGGAAAGTGGGAACTTGTCTCCGGGATGGAGGTAGTGTTTTTAGATCTCAATGTCCCTCCCTCTATCTAATACGGAGTACA